ACGTTGACTGAGATGGTGGATACCACGAGGACAATGGCAGGGTTCAAGTCCCAGACCAGGCAACTTGAAAATCATGCCAGGTGCGTGTGTGGGCATATCCAAAATCATGAAGAGAGAATGGAGGACAAGGGACTACTGTATGGTCATCCCTCTGGTGGCAAGGGGGAACTTCTCACTTTCCCTCTGTCTGGCCAGTGCACAAGCCCTAGAGCAACACATGCACACACACTCATACATATATACGTATAAAAAAATTGTGGTTTATTGAGAGATCAACATATAAGAAAAGAATACTTGAGTTTCCTCAGGAAGAAAATGTATATAATAGCACGTAAGATATACTTCTTGAATCTGCAATAGGCTGCTTATACATGGGTAAAGAAGTTCATAATACACAAAACAGTAAGTCTTAAAAAAAAAAAGACACTATATATCAGAAGGCTGTGTTCTAAGCACTTCCTTATAAAAAATATGGGAAATTTGCCAGTAGAAACGTTCCAATAAAAGAGGAAATGAATTATTTCCTATAGATTCTTGTATGTATCTATCTTCATTTTCAGCATTTCCCAAATATGCTTGATGAAAGGCTGGATCCCACATGACCAAATGTACGGTTTGAATCCAGATTCAAGTCCCTGATTGGAGGCTGGAAAATCACGCTGGGCGCAGATGCGTGCATGCCCAAAGTGTGTGAGAAGAGAATGGAGAAAGAGAAGGGATTGCAGCTAGGCTATCCTCCCTGAGGGGGTGATTTCTCTCTCTCTTTCTCTTTCTCTCTCTCTGTCTCTTCAGTGAGTGCACCAGCCCTATAGCAAAAACTGAAAGGAAGGAGAAAAGAAAAGAAAAGAAAAGGAAAGAAAAGAAAAGAAAAAGAATGTGGTAGGAAATGAAAAAGGGACAGAAAAACAGGGAAAGAAAAACAGCATACTACAACAGAATTTCGCCCTTGGGACATTTACAATACACAGTGGCATAGTAAGGATTCTGCCTTAAGGAAGTTAATTCACCTCTATTGAACATACATTTTCCAGATTTATTAGGAACAGAACAGTTCTCCTGCTACTCCTCTTAAACACACAAAATGAATGCTAAGTTGTTAAAGATCCACTTAAGATTTATACCAGATAACACAGAAATTAAATAACTTTGATACTAGCCTGAGGGAAAAGATTAGCATACATACCCAAGAATAATAAATTATCTTACCAAAACAGTGTTTCATATAATCAGCAGGTCAGGACAAGAGCTTAGTGGCGAGAAAGTTGGAAAGAAGGTAGTAGTAAAGAGGAAGAGATAAGACTTAGCTCTTTCACTTCCCTTCTGAGATGTCCTTACCCTGCCCTGTCAATTCTGATTACTTATAAAGCAAAACATCTACAACTAGTAGTAAAAATTTCACCTTGGGGGACCAGCAGTTGACGTAATGGCTATGTTGCTAGACTCTCATGTAGTCAACAGTGGTTCAAGTCCCAGACCCAGTGGCTTAAACTCAACACCAGGCTTATGTGTGTGCGTGCCCAAGATCCCGAGAATGGAGGAAAAGGGATTGCAGTGTGGCCATCCCCCCTAGGGGGTGATTTCTCGCTTTCTGTCTCTCTGTCTCTCTCTGTCTTTCTGGCAAGCGCCCACACCCTATAGGAAAAAATCTCTCAAAAAAAAAAAAAAAAAAAAAGTAATTCATTGGGTCACTTTTCTCTCTCTCCTTTTTCAAAATTTTTTACAGTAATTCCTGATACTAGCAGGTAACCTCAAGAGGAGAATCTATTTGTCTCAAAAGTACTTTCAAGTACCTCAAACAGAAAAAATTCACACTACCATGACAAACATAATCATAGTGGGCAATTCAAGCATGAATTTGCAAAGCAATAATGTAATACAATGGCAGAGACTACATAATATTTCCTATTCAGGGGAAAACTCACAGGAAAAATATGGAACTAGAGAAAAAAGAATAAGTTTAAATTATTTGGATATCCCAGTAGAGGACAAAGAATTATTCAACTGGAAATAGTTAACAGAAAAGTAAAACATAAGAAATAAAGAACCATTTTTTCACTGAGACATAAGCACTTTCCAACAACAAAAATATCACTATTGATTATTACCACTGTTTCTAAGAGTATGAACCAATCAAGGAAATCAGTCAATCATGGGCACACCTATCCCCTTGGAAAAATAAATCCTAACAGGCAAATTACTTGGGAAGTACTATTTTTATTTTAGTTTACAAGGAAAACTTTTCTTGAAGGTTGCTATCCTTTCTCATAAAAGGGAGAGAGCTAGATGACAGAATCTATCAAAGTCTTACTGGCCAACTGATTATAATAGCTATGCTGTCCATTTTTTGCTTTGTTTTTGTGTAGTTGTTTGTTTTTTGATTGGGGAATAATCAGTTGGTAATTCCTTATGTTGTTATGCTATTTACCATAATGGGTAGCAAAACTGACTAAAAGAAGTACTAAGTAAAATCCTAACACATAATACTATATTTTAGAAATAGCAGATTTGAAGCTAAATCATAAGGCTAAATAAAAACAAACTAGAGGAATTAAAGCAATTATAGACAGAATAAACTCCAGCCTTGGTTACTAATTACAAACAGAACATGTGAATATTTTCATTCGGGGGCATAAAAGCAGGAGTTACAAAATCAGAAGACGAAGAACCAAAATGCTTCCTAGTACAGAATTTTCTTGGTGAAATCATTATAATCTGAGCTCTGATAATCAGTTGTACAGGTCCAGAAAGTAGACTATATCAATAACCCAAAAGATGATCAATCTTAGCCTTAGTATCCAATTTGCACTCAGAAGAAACCAATAAAAAAAGTAGTATGCCCGATTAATTTACCAAGAGGATATTCTTACAGTGATCAGAAAACTTACCCTCTATTTAGAGTATTCATGCTCTTTTTCTATATGAGTACATATCTGGTTTGGCTAAATACAGAATTACAAGGATGTGAAATAGATCTAGTGAGATATTTCATCCAGTCCATAAAAAGGCCTCATAAATGCTTTTGCACCACAGCAAAGAATGTATGTCTGGAGACTGTACTGCTTATCTTCCACATTTTCGATCTTTTTAAACTCAAATTTTTCCTTCTTCATTCTTTTTTCTATGGCCCATTACATCTTTATTAGAAATGTTATCATCACTGACTAACCTATATCATCAAGCTGTTGCTCCCATGGGCATGCAATGTTAAACATCCTTTTTCTGAATGCTGCCTAATGATGAGATAGCAAATTCATGTCCCTATTTTCAAGTTCTTAAGCAATACTTCCAACATCACCTGGTACTATCTATAATTTTCATAGAAATGACAAAGAAGTGGGGTGGCTTTTTGGTAGATATTGAGATTTAATTATGAAAACAAAAGAAACACAGAAATCCAATTGAACACAACTCAATACTGCAAAAAATGTAGATACATTGTGTTTCAAAACAAGTTGCTAGAAATCAAACACTTAGAAAAGCAACATATGACTAGCTCATAAAAGAGTGTGCATGCATGTCCAAGGTTCGGAGACAAGAATGGATTGTAGTGTGGCCATTCTCCTTAGGGGGTGCTTCTCACTTTTTCTCTATGTCTTCAGCAAGTATAAGTACCCTGTAGCAAAAATCTCTCTACATGCACACGCATGCACACACACAAAAGTGGAGGATAGTCTTACATATGTACAATACTAGTAGTATAAGAGGATTCTACATTTGCACAATGCTTTACAAGTTGGAAAAGTGCTTTCCTGCTCACTATTACACTTAATTATATTAATCAACAAATATCTAAATTCAAAGTCTTCAAGAAAGATACATATAAAAGAATGGTTTAAAAAAAAGAATTTTACATTTTAAAGCTATTAAAGATTCCTACTGACAATTTAATTAACAATTTATTTAAATATACCTATTTTGGCTCTGAAATCAGAAAATACATTAAGACTATTTGCACAACAGAGATATATTCCTTCTCTCATAGATACAAACTTATCACATATTCTTAGGTCATAAATCTATTTTAAAAATAATATTTAAGTGGGTCTTAAATACATTGTTCTAAACAGGATGAAATTATACTTGGGGACCAGCAGGTGGTACAGTGGTTAAGGCACTGGACACACCCACATGGCTGACCACAGTTCAGGTTTGGGTGCTGACCTGGTGGCTGGCTTTCTCACTTTCCCTCTCTCACTCTGTGTCTCTCTCTGGTGAAATTAAAATAAATGAATGAATAAATAAATTAAAATAAATAATTCTTTAAAAAAAGAAAATTATACTCAGAAAATTATGTAAAATTATAAAACTGATCAATTCAGGTTTTGGTATACTCAACAATCCATTTTTAGCTCCCTCATACTTCTTCAGGTGCCTGGTTGTACATATGCCCTCTTAATAACTACATATACAAAAATGCACAGTATCAATCATCTATACCTTAGTAGAGTGAATTTAAGTGGCTAAATCCACTCAAGAATTTTAAGCCTAGGGACTGGTATGGTGGTTAAGGGTGCTGGACTCCCACATGGCCGACCACTGCTCAAGTCAGCTTGCTTTCTCACTTTTTCTCCCCCACTACCCCCCACCACACTCTGTCCCTCTCTGGTCAAATTAAATAAATGAATAAATAAAGTTAAATAAAATAATTCTTTTTAAAAAAAGAAAGTTAAGCCTAATCTTCAACTGTAAAAATAAGACAAAAGCCACATTGTAATGGAATCAGACATTAACCTGGTAAGAGACACTTTATAGAGTTCAAGAAATCATATATGTACTTGATTATGTATAAGGTCAGTTCTTATCAAATAAGTTATATCCCATTGAAGTCCATTAGGCACATCAAAGAAAAAAATTAAATAATAAAGGGTTTACAGAGCACCACCACAATAAAGTTTATATCACAAAGCATCCTTTTCTGTGGTTTAGAAACCTTTTCTAAATGAAAATATAACCAGAATAGACTACATCAATATTTGAAATAGAAAATCAAGAGTTCTTACCTTACTACATCATCAATATTGTTCCTGTATACACCTTCAAGTCTTTCTGCAGGAAATCCCATAGCAATAATGTTTGGATAAATATCTGAGAACTTAAGTTAAGGAAATATCTGAAATATGTAAGAATGCAAATTAAAAGCACATATTTTAAAACATAAGCTGTTATATGAAGAAAGTTTTCCCCACTATAGGTACAGTAATAAAAGGTTGTCCAATATATTTACCTGTAACCTACAGTGTATAATTAAGAAATATTAATAAATACATTAATTTTGAAAAGATCCCCCAAATAATTACACAGAAAAGTTTTTTTCAAACCTCTCTAATACATTAAAAAATACCTAAAGTAAAAGATACCTTCCATATCTACAGTATTTAAGTATATAATAAAAACAAAAACCTGACTTTGTAAATCATGAAACTGAAGTATTTCAGAACAAAAACTAAAAACAGGAACATCTTTAAAAATCTAAAATCTGCCTGAAAAGACTTAACAGTATAACTTCTAATTTTCATGGTAAAAAGACACCACACTATATATACACAATGGAATATTAGTTGGTCATAAGAAAGGATGAGTTCCTGTCATCTGCAGCAACAAGGGCAAACCTGGATGAATTAATGCCAAGTGAAATAAGGCAGGCACTGGAAAACAAGTGCCCTATGCCCTCACTCATTAGTGAAGGCCAAAACATGTGATTACATAGAGTGTGTAATGGTAAGCACTAGAAACAGGAAGATGGGAGAGGGGACGGGGAGAATTTGCACAACGGATACAACTGTACACACAGATAAGTGAAATGAGATACAGAATACTATAGAATAGTAAAGATGACTGGTAACAATTCAAAATAACTACAAGAGAAGATTTCAAGTACATATAACACAAAGTAATGATAAATGGTGGAGACAGTGGATATGCTTAATATCCAGATTTAAACATTACACATTGTGCATATGTCTTGAAAACCACACCATACCCCATAAATTTGTACAAATTTGTACAACTGTTAGGTAGAAATTACAACTAAAAGGTACTTTATTATTTTTTTTTTTTTGAGAAGTTTTTGCTATAGGGCACGTGCCCTCGCAAGACAGATAGAGAGAGACAGAGAGACAAAGCAAGAAATCACCCCCCCGGGGGGTGGCCACGCCGCAATCCCTTCTCCTCCATTCTCCTCCCGGGATCTTGGGCACGCACGCACATGTGCCCAGCATGAGTTTTAAGCCACCGGGTCCAGGATGCGAACCGCAGTCGACTATATGGGAGTCCAGTGACATAGCCATCACGCAAACTGCTGGTCCCAACTAAAAGGTATTTTTAAAAAACAGCACCATGGTGAAGAAAAAAGTAGAAACAATGAGACTCATGAAGTCTGACTTAAGCACTGGCTCTATCTCTAGTTTACAATTTGGCCAAGTCACTTAACCTTTCTAGACCTCAATTTCCTATTCTTCAATAATTAGGTTCAACAAGATGACCACTAAGATTTCTTTCAGTTATGACATAATTAAAGTGAAGTAGAAATTTTATTTAATATTATCACTTCTAATCAAGGTAATCAATAGTAAATATGTCCATTATTCTATTTTATTATACACTATAGTTAGGATGAAAACAAACATCTACACTCAAAAAGAATTTCTATCCAACTATAATAAAAATCACCAACAATCTACACTATATTTTCTTACCAATCACATCAGCTCTCATTTTTCTTGAGCTTCATGAATCCTCTCTACTCTCATGATTTACAGACGTTCCATACCTGTCAAGTTAATCTGACAAAAGCCTTCCTTTAAGATCATCTCTAAAGACCTCTATCCCACCCACTTCTGGACCTACTTATCTTAGAAATAGAATTCATAATTCACAATATCCAATATCCTTCTCTGATCTTTTACTTTCTGCAGACTCTATAGTGTTGATTTCAACATTATTTTTAATACTATTTTCCATCTGAACATAATTAGCAATTAAAAGTATTTATTTTGAGGTTATAATTTAAGAAAAGTTTATATGTGCTTTACATGTTCTATCTACAAAATAGAACTATGACTGTAGAGATATAGAGACTATTATAAGAAAAAGGTACACAACAGAAAACAGTGTGTATCTTTTGCATAGGAATGTGAGAAAGTATATTAACACACAGACATGCCCAGGAGTAATAAATGAGAAACAAACAAAAAAAACCACTTGCTTCATAGAGAAAGAGAAGGGAAAGGGAGACATTTGGAGAGAACAGGTGGATTCAAGATTGCTGTGTATTATCTTTGTGTAGATTTAACCTTTTAATCATGTATTGAAGAAAACAGAGACTAATTTTTTTTTAATTCCATATGTTGAAAACAGCTAAAATAAACCTAATAAAATATCAAACTAACAGCCAGAAGAATTTTTGTTTTTGTTTCTACTGCCAAAAGGCACATGCACTCATCAGAGAGAGAGAGAGCGAGAGAGAGAGAAAGCATCCCCACCAAGTCATGTCACAATACCTTTTCCTCCATTCCTACTTCCTCTCAGGATTTTGAGCATGCATTTGCACATGCCCGGAATCTTTACCAAGACGCTGGTGCCAGGCCTCAAACAGTGGTCAGCCATGTAGGATCCAGCTCCCTTAACCACTGATCTAAGGGACCAGCCCAGAATGGATTTCTTTCTTTTTACTTTTAATTTAGTATTGTTTGCCAGATGGCATTTGCACTCAACAAGATAAACAGAGAGGGAGAGAGCATTTCCCAGTGGAGTGCAGTCACACAGCAATCGCTTTTCCTCCATTTCTCCATCCTGTAGGAATTTGAGGCATGCACACACAAACGCCTGGCATGTTTTTCAAGCTGCTCAGTATGGGACTCAAACAGCATGGCTGACCATGTGGGATCTGGCTTCCTTAACCAGTAGGTCATGAGGTTGGCTTAGGATTTATTTCAAGCACTATTTGTGACACTGTACTTCTATTGTAGTTCTTAGGAAGAAGTATTCTAGAAACAGAACTATAAAAAAATATATATTAAACTTCTTTTGAAACTTTTACTGTTTTGGGACCAGCAGATGGTGTAATGGTAACGTTATTAGACTCCTACATAACGAACCACAGTTCAAGTCCTGGACCTGGTGGCTTGAAACTCGTGCCAGGTGCACGTGCATGTGGGCCCAAAATTCTGAGAAGAGAGAAGGGACTGTAGTGCGGTCATTCCCCCTGGTGGTGATTTCTTACTTTCTGTCACTCTCTCTCTGTCTCTCCAGCAAGCGCACACACGTTATAACAAAAATCTCTCTTAAGAAAAAAAAAAAGAGAAAGTTTTACTGTTTTTAGTAATATCATTTCAGGCCTCAAGCTGTTTTCTTTATATTACAGGAATAAGCAACCAAGTTAGGCTAATGCTAATTTTTTTTTTTTTTAAGTTTTTGCCATAGAGTAAGTATGGGTGCACCAGAGACACAAAAAGATAAAAGGGAAATGAGAAATCTCTACCCAGGGGGATAGCTATGTCACAATCCCTTCTCTTCCATTCTCCTCTTGAGATGTGGGTAGACACACACACACATCCAGTGTGATTTTTAAGCTGCTTGGTCTAGGGCTCGAACCACGGTCACCCATGTGGGAGTTCAGTTCCTTAACCACAACACTACCTGCTGGCCCCTAGGCTAATGGTTTTATAATTCATGATTATTAGTCTAAGGAATAAAAGGTTACATCATAAAATCAAGTAAAAAACATTATTTAAAAATATCAATGTGGGGACCAGCAGTTGGCATAATGGTTAGGCTGCTAGACTCCCATGTAGTCAACCGCAGTTCAAGTTCCGGACCTGATGGCTTAAAACTCACACTGGGTGTGTGTGTATGCATGCCCATGTTTACGAGGGAGAATGGAGGAGAAGAGATTGTGGTGTGGCTATCTCTCATGGGGGGGGGTGATTTCTCACTTGCTATCTCTCTGTCCCTCTCTCTTTCTCTTCAGCGAGCACACATGCCCTAAAGCAAAAATCTCTCTCTCAAAAAAAATAAAAAATCAATGTGAATTCGTGTTTTTTAAAAAAATCTAGATTTTCTAGGTCTTTTCACTCAGATGAACTTCTGGTCACACCAGCAGCAGTAAGCTCCCTTAGTATTCAAATTTCCATCTCTAATTTAATACACTTAAAAGGGACAAATTTCTAAGAAAAAGGATTGAGGCTAAGTCTGAGGCAGCAGAAGTATAGGTGAGCCTGGGGTATCTTTCCATGCCAGGAAACAAGGAAGGCTTGTAGAGATTAACTCTCTATATTAAATGGACTTAGAAGCTGACATAAAGGAGGTCTTAGTGACTAGTTGTGATACTCTAATCATTGAAGAAAAATTTAAATGGCTGTAATTTAAAATACCCTAATCAAACAAAAATCCTTGATGCAATATAAATATTCCAAAGAGAAAAAGTTAAAACCACAAAAACATTTTAATTTATCACCTTTTGAGGTGAATATTAGAACAGTTCTTCATTTTTAAAAAACTGGTATGGGGGACCAGCAGTTAGCATAATGGTTATGTCGCTGGACTCCCATGTAGTTGACCACGGTCCACATCCCGGACCCAATGGCTTAAAACACACGCTGGGCGCGTGTGCGTGCGTGCCCAAGATCCTGAGAGGAGAATGAAGGAGAAGGGACTGTGGTGTGGCCATCCCCCTGGGGGGCTGACTTCTGGCTTTCTTTTTCTCTGTCTCTCTCTGTCTGTCGGGCAAGCGCATGCGCCCTATAGCAAAAACCTCTAAAAAAAAAAAAAAAACTGGTACAGGGAGAAAGAGACTTAAATGTGTATCTTGCTTTTTTTTATAAGCACTGTATTTCAGGGCAACCAAGTTACCCAATTTCATAAACTCTACTTTACAAACAAAACACCAATTAATAAATATAAAAGGATAGAATTAGAAGTGTTATATTTTGAAATTCCTAATGAAATAATGATGTAGGTAAAGATCAAATGGTGCTAAATCAACAGATGTGTGGTTGATGAGGAATGGAACTTTCTCACAGAGCAAAACCACCAACATACAAAATATATAGTGTAAGAAGGCAAATATAATTGAATGATGGGCAGAA